CCTTCAGTGTGTATGCAAAGCTACTTTCAGCTCATCAGGCAAGCTGAAAGTACAGCTGAAGTTTGTGGCACTGTGTGTGAGAAAAGCATCTGCTTCCTGATGTAATCATGATAGGAAAGGCTGTGACTGTGGATCTTTTGTAGTGGTGATGATGGCTACAGGGACACATTTGAGAGCTGGACCAAGCCTTTTCTTAGTGCATTAGTGTGTTCAGACAGTTTCAGTCTGCTCCTGTGTGACACAAGGAATTCTGCCACATTCTTCTTCCAAAGGATGGAATTCCACACGCTTAGCATAGAAACTTGTGCAAAGGTGCAGGAAGGCACACGTGTGTAGAGTCAAATAATACTCTTAGACAAGTATGAACATACCCTGACTCTGCAGGTTCTTTTAGTGTTTGCAGAACTACAGAAAGTCACACCACTATGCCAAGTACCCTAAAGAATCACAGTGACACGGGAATGGAGACTTCATTACAGAAGGCTGTGCAATGTAAGTGAGCAGAGATGCTGAACCAGATGACCCACTGTGGCCCCTTCTACCTTGACCATTCAGTGATTCTGTGATCGTGTGACCTTACTAAGCTCAGTAACAGCTGCATCAGGCAGGCCCCTGTCAGTGTTGGCTATCTGTGAGGAAAAGTTGGACTTCAGGATCCTGACAGGCATGGGGTTAATTTTTTATTTCTGTGTTAACTGCTTTACATCAAGTACTCCTCTGTGCCCTTGGTCTCAGGTGGCTCTGAGGCTGGGCACTGGACAAGCTGGTCTAAACTGTCTCTGTTATAATGGTGAGTTTTTACACAAATAAGGCCAGCACAGAAAAAAATCTCCGAATCTAAGGAATTTCCTATGATTCTCTGAATCCTCAGAAAACCCTGTGAAAAAAATGAGAAAAAAAATACACCTTTAAAATACATAGGTAAACAATGTGTACTTGTAATATTTCTCCTAAATCATTATGAAGGTGCCAATGCAGAGGAAGAGGTGTGATGAGCCATGATGACATTAAGATTATGTGAGCTCTTAAAGCTGTCTTACGATTGTTTGAAAAGTTTATATGCTTTTATATCCCAAAGTGATAGCTATGGTGCTTCTGGTGTTTTGCAGTGGAAAAATATATGGATTGTGCAGACAATCCTTTGGTGATGGTAGTAGAATGCAGTCTATTGAGTGGTGAGGGGACAGAGATCTCCACCTTTCACAGTGGTAGAAGTGCTTTATTAGGACTGAATTTCAGAAGCAATAACTTGCTCTGTAGGTATTTAAACAAGAAAATTAGCCTGCTCCTCAGATATTCTGCTCAGCAGTAGAAAAGCCTTTGAAAGACTGTCATAATAGTAGGTGATCCTTTGTTTTACATGTGCATGTTTTTCCCTGTTTTCAGTAATGGACTAAGGCTAATCACCTGCAGTTTACTGGAAGAGTGGACCAGTCCATTCAGTATCAATGTATGAGCAAATGGTCCACTGGAATAAAGACTGCTTTTAAAATAATTTTGAAATTATATTCATAGGAATGGTATAAGGGATGTGGAGCTTATGCTGGTGAGGAGACACACTGTGTTTTGTTCAGAAAATATATCCTTTGTTTATATATGTTTTCTCAGCTCCCTGTGCCAAGCTGAACTCCCCAGACACCTGAATACTTCACACTCTATGAATAAATTCTCAACTAGTGTCAGAGAAGAATGTGCCAGGATTATTCAATCACTAGGCAGAGGGGAAAAAAAATCTCTGTCATGACCTACCAACCAGACATTTCTTGGCAATTGCTAATCAACAGTGTTAGCCTTTTATTGTCTCCTGCCATTATCTTCCAGGAAAGGTCTGAGCAAGAGGTCAGAGTAGCTTAAGTAGGTATTTGTTCATTTGTTATCTTTCATGCAGTGTGCTGGAGTCAACAGTCTGCTCTCCATTGAAGGTGAAATACTTCACCTTAATTTGTTATGTTCCTTTACTGTAGAATTTGGCAACCACACTCAAAAGATAAGAATACTTTATGGTAGGAATGTTTCTGAGAATAATTTTTAAAGCTTTCTATGAGCATTAATTTTTGAAAGATCTATATTTGGTAAATCACAAACTGCTTTCTTATTGGCAGTCTACAGAAGAAACACATTAGAAAAATGACCTGGATCTTAACTCAAATTACCAACTCCTGCAGTTCAGGTAACAACTGTATTCTATGCTTACCTTTGAACAGGCAATTGGATTTGCATTCCTTTCCTGAAAAAGACTTTCTTGGGTTGCAGGCCCCCAGAAAAAAAAAAATTAATTCCTAGAAGATGATAAGGAAAAAGGGGGTAAATTATATGAAAAATTAACCTAGCACCTGCCTTCTGTCACATAAATAAATTGCCTAGATAGACAGTGGTAACGTGTGTGGTAACAAGTGACTGCACTTGAAATTCTGCATTTTTTTAAGGACTTTAATTTGAAGACCAGTGCTTTCTTTGATCAGAAATTGTTCATTATTCAGCTTTGTCCACCCATGCTGCCTTAAAAAAGCATTGCTGAACAGGAAAACCAGAAATCTGATTGCTTCCTTTCTAGGAATGGAAGTACCCATTCCCAGAAATGGGATATTTCTCTCCCTTTCTTTTTTGCTGTAATACTGGAAACATTTGAAATTTGTTCAAGTCTCTATGGGAAACCAAGACAGACAGCTCTATCTTCCTCTCCAGCATAGAACAGTGGTTGGCAAACAAATGGCAACTGCCACATGGTTGCCTTTAGGCAGCCCAGGACTCCTGGACCCTGGACATGCAAGGAAATGCAAGAAAAGAGAGAAATTCACCTCCTCTCTCAAATCCAGCAGTAGCAATGAGGCTCCCCTTCTATTTAGGGAAAAATGGAATTGCATCACATGACCAGCCTCTTTTGAGGCATCCCAGTAGATAGCTGAAGGTATGGTTTCCTTACCCATTGAAAAGGGCTAATGTGGCAAAGGAGTTACAAATGCTTGACCTCACTAGGATTTTCTTGTTATGCCATTTGGTCTTCACTCTCTTCCACATGCTGTACCCATTCCCAAGCTGTTTGTTGAACTAAAGATAATTAATCTCTGCCAGAATGGTTACTTTGGGCTTACATTTTGTGAAGACAAACCACATTCTTGTGACGGCCAGAGCTGTAGGAATTAGATTTCCCTTCTCTTCTGTGCAGTCTGCACCAAAACCATTTTCTTTGTACCAACTGGTAATGGCAAAAAGTCTGCACTGAAGCTTTAATGTTTCTAGGAAATAACTTATGAACTGTTTCTCTATTGTATGAGGGCACACAGACAGGTACAAAGTGGCATAAGTTGGGACAGAGATTTTGGGACTTGCAATAGGTAGTTTTATGCAGAGAAGCTCAGTGGCTCTGTAGAGCAGAGAGAACAGCTTAGCCAGTGACCTTGTGGAGCAAATACCAGTCTGCTATACTGCAGGAGAGATTCTGGACTTTTCAGTGAGGCTGGCCTGAGCAGGACTGGTCAGGTGCAAACACAGAGTATGCCAGAATTGATTTTTCCTTTACATGTGCATACATCTGTCATGCAGTGTTTTTTCTGCCTCAGGGAGTAGTTGTCTGTGATGTCCAAGCACATGAGCTTTTTAGTCTTACGTTTTTCATCAAGAAGCTAGATGTTTACATTACTTGATGAATTTGAGCTTTATAATCAGACATTTGGGTGAAATGTTTAAAAATAAAACATTGTTTTATTTGTGTGCAAAAGTTCCACTTCCCTGTGTTGCATCAGGGCAGCTGTTGTTGTGCTCTGCTTTTTTCTTTCTGGGACTGTCTATGACAGCCACCAGCCATCCTATTTACAGTCATTAGCACAAGGAAATTGGAAACTGCAGCTTCTGGAACATGATTATCTTCTTCTTCCTCTCAGGTTTGTCTTTTACTGTGACACAGGAAAGGAAATGTTTGTACAGCTAAAAGACACAGAGATAAACAGAAGTGCCAGGTCTTTTTTGAATGAGCTGCTGATATTGAGCTAATTTTGGACCAGCTTACTAGAAGTGGTGATACAGAAGGGTGACAAAAGGGGACAACCTCCCCCAGCTCATAGCCCCTCTATAATCAGAAGTGTAGAAGCCTCTAAAGCAATTGCAGCAAGATTTAGATAAGAACCCTGAAAGAAAGCAGAGACTGGCATCTTTGTTAGCCTCTAGGAAAGGACAGTCTTGTGCAATGTTTAGTCAAAGGCTTATACCACTCGTAAAGGTTCTTGACTGTACAGCAGTCTAATTAAATTGCCTCCAGTTCAATGATCAAAGTGAAACAAAGCCTAAAAACTCACGACTGTGCAATCATTGTTTTATGAAGATAACAGTAGACAATTGCATTTTTGTCAGGAGTATGAAGAATTAAATAAGACATAAACCTGTCTGTGAAATGAACAGTTTTGAACAGTGCATGCTAAATGTCTGTCTGTTCCACAGGAATTAGTGTTTTGTTGTACTTTTTTAACTTGTTGAATTCACAAAACCCCAAAATTTACAAATTAGAGAATGTGTGAAAAACAAGACCACAGTTGCTAAAACTGACTTTTATATTGAGTTTATTTTCTTAATCTTAACACGATTTTTTATGGCACACAGCATCAGAATCAGCACCTCTGCATTTACAACGACTGAGAAGCCCTGCCAATTTGTTTCTCTAGTTCCAAATTTTAAATCATGAAGAAAACCTTACTCTTTGTTCTTTTTTTCTATGAAAGGCATTACAGCACATTGCTGCAACAAAATCATGTTATGAGGGGTCCATTCACAAAATAAATTTACTGCACATTAAATGCTGATTTAGTAATTTCATCATAACTAAAAACTATAATGCAAATGCATATATATATATAGTGCAGCTTTTGTGAAGTACTAACTTATCTTGGTTTTTATTATGCTCCAGTTCACAAGAGAATCATTAGTGCAAATTAATGAGATTTAACTGTAAAGTTGTATTTTAACAACCACTTAGATATATTTAAGCTCATTTAGGCCAGTGTAATGAGTTAATATCCAGCATCTGATTTGGTGAGCGCTTTCTCAAGCTCCTCTTCAGGATTAGGTTTCTTCTGGTTTTGGATAGCAGGTAGGACACAGCTTGGTTTTAGATGCTCTCCTGAGAGACCAGGCAAGAAAGAACAGAGCGTATGACTCTGAGAATGTCCTGTTTTCACTGATCTGGAGATTGGAGCTGGTGGGAGGATAACTGCACTGGTTCGTAGGGACTTAAACTTCTTAGCATCCTGAGATGGTAGCTGAACTAGAGGAAATAGGAAATAGAAAATAGGGAAAAAAAAAGAGAAAGTGCACAGAAAGTGAAAAGCATGGCATTTTTACAAATGATTTTGCATCTTTCTTTGAGCTGTTGTCTCTTACTGTGTGTACTCAAGCCTGTACTTGAAAAATGTGATCATAATATTAATATATTTTCTCGCATACGGTAGAATGCTTTGAGTTCACTCAAAAAATTTTGGTGTGCAAACCAAATTTTGAGAGGCTCACTAGTATTTCTCTTTGGAACAGTCATTGTTAATATATTCAAAGTTCATGTCTGTGTGAAAAATATCCATAAAGCTTTATGTATTTTATGTACATCATTAAAAGCTTTAAATGATGGATTTAAGTAGGCCAAAAGCTTAACTTCAACCCATGACAGAGCAGCCATCACAAACTCATGCTCGTTCAAAGAATCCAAACACCATTGCTTCCCCACATAGTCCCACATGCTGTGCTCAGTTTATTGGATTTAGGATTTCAGGATTGGTACATGCATAGCTCTGAAACAATGCATATAATGACTAGTGTTAGTACATGTGCTGAAACACATGAGCCCGAACCCAGAGCTGGGATGTGTGGGAGGCAGAGCCCTTAAGGACCCAGGAGCTTTGTAAAGCAAAAACACCATTAATGACTGACATGGGGAGAGCAGAATTGGCCACCGAAAACCTAGTGGTACAAAGGAGCTACTGGTTCAGGAAGCCTTTTCCACTCAGTAGATTCTGGAGTAGTTGTTATTACAAAATGCAGAGGCAAAAATAAGGCTGTCAGAAAGGCATTGCCTGAGGAGTATGGAGTCCAGCAGAAGAATAGGTCTTAGACTCCCCTCCTTTGCAAGCAGTGGACCGCAGCACCTTTCTGCAGAGATGTGGGTGCTTTGTGGAGTGCTTTGCTGTTAACTTGGGAAAGAAGAAACTTCAAATCATGACAAATAATGTCAAAACAACCACAGATCTCCATAAACACTGTTAAATGACCCGTAGAAATAGATTTTAAGTTTGTTTTTTAAATTTGTTGTTGGCTTTTTTCCCAGCAAGTAATAATGTCACTTTTTTGTGAATCAGACACATGTCTCCTCTTATGTCTCCAGAAACATCAGACCTTCTTAACTACATGGAGAAATGACAGCAGCAGAGAGTTCTCTAGAAGTCCCATATTTGTTTGAAAAATTATTCTGACATCTTTTAAGGAGTGTGTGACAGCCTGTTTTCCAGGGGGTGTTGGAAGCATTCCATGTGGAGATAGAAAGAGTGTGTGGAGGATAAAGTAGTAGCATGCAGAACAGGGGATGCAGTCTGTGTTGTGGAGACTCAAGAAGCCATGTGAGGGGTCTTTCACCCTGGGAATATCTGAAGGCTGAGAATTTATGGTATAAAGTCACTCAAATACTCTTAGGCTACTGTTTAATTCCTATTTTCCTCTTTCTAATGTGTATTTTAAAATGTTTTTACTGAGAGATTTAATAATTTCTTCCTTCTTTTTTTTTTGCCCTTCCTTTTTGGGGGGAGATAGTTCTTCTTTCTGTTAATCTCTGAGTAGTTTCAGTTCTCATTCTCGTTTTTGCTTATTTTATTGTTACAGCTTCTTGTTTTTGTTTTTTTTTTCTTTTTCCTTAGCATATTTTTAACACACATCTAGTTATATACTAGAGAATAAAAATAATAGAGAAACACAGGTATTTATACTCAGTCTGTTGCTGGAGCATTTTGCCTGGATAAAGGCCATGTCCAAAAGAGTAATATTTTTAGGGCTGGATGGAGGACGAGTGAAATCTCATATTGAGATGAGACTGTGTTATTTAGAAAGCTTCAGAGGCAAATATGTAATTTGTGTTAACAAGAAATACAGTCTATTTTGAAATTAATTTTCGTTTTCTGTTACTGGCTTGAACTAACATTCAAGCAGTAATGGTACCTGGATAAATGTGCTGTGTTAGTTCATTAAACCATGATTCTTAATTGTGACAATTGTACCTTATTTGTAAAACAGTTTTCGGCATGAGACTAGAACTAAATTCTTGACCATTTATATGAATGCAAGAACGACAATTACTTTGAATGAATTTTTCAGGGATTTTGCTTACAACTATGATTTAACTAGAAGAGACAGAAAACATGAGTAGAAAAGCTTAAAAAATAGAACACCTGGACATGGGATTTTAAAAACAATTAAATTATTTTCTTCCTTCTGGGCTGACAGAGAATACCACCTCAGTAATTCAAACACCTTTTCTTCTTCCTGTCTGATGTAGAAAGCAGTAGCAGTGCAGGGATCTGTGTATCCTCACCCAACCTGATGGTCCCTATAAGGCTGCCTCTGCCTCCTTTCTAGTAATACTGTCATCACTGCTGAATTGCTTCTGACATTCAGATTATAGGCAGCAGGAAATCTTACATTTTGGTCTGAATGCTTTAGGACCTGGATCTACAGGATGACAATTAGTAACCTGTAAATCTTCATCCAGTATACAATGGAGATTTGTGCTTTGTGGAGCACAAGAATGAGAGGTTAGGACACTGCTGGGAGTAGGGCTAGTGTCTGTGTATGAAGAACACCCCAGTTGTTGGCTTGATCCAGCCTGGAACAATCACAGTCTTGACACTCTGCTGAAACTCTGGGAGTGGGGTGATGCTCTTCTGCTCTTTGGGACCACTGCTTCCCCAAGCTGAACATAAGCCAGCAATGTGCCCAAGAAGAAATACACCCAACAGCATCCAGGGCTGCAGATTGTGACAGGTGATTCTTCCCCTCTACTTAGCTTGGGTGAAACACATCTGGAGTTCTGAGTCCAGTTCTGAGGCTCCTAGTACAAGAGTGGGGGGCCATACCATGTCCAGTCCATGCCTATGTCCAGTAGGTAACGGAGATGACTAAAGGAAAGGGCTGGGACTGTTCTGCCTCAAGAAGAAAAGGCAGTTCAAAGGATATTGTCAATATGCATAAATGTTTGATTGTGGGGAGTAATGGAGAAAGAGACAGACTCTTCTCAGTGGAGTCCTATGGAGGGAAAAGAATCAATGGCCACAAATAAGTAATAAGAAACTTTTTTCCTCTGAGGGTAGTCAAACACTTCCCACTCACTTCCACTGGGAAGAGATGGCCCACAAAAACTGTGTAGTCTCAATCTCCATTCATAGAGATATTTAAAACAAATCTGGGTCTGATCTTAGGCCATGTGCTGTAGGTGACTTCTCTGTGGACAGACAGGGGGATGGACAGACAGTCTCCAAACAAACACGAAACCTCTCTCAAGCCCTCAAATGCCAGCAATGGAGGCACACAATATGAGACTGTAACTGACACTTGTCTGTACTTACTTTTGTGGGCACTGTGGTTTGGTATTGGAGCTAGACTGTTCTGTACAGGAATAATATTTTTCATTTTCTGCTGGTCTATGGACATCCGTTGAAAACTTCTACCTGTGAAAGAAAAAGAAAATTATTATGGAAATAATTTTAACTAGTGTGGTGCACTGTGCATTTCTGGCCTCCAGAAAAGGAAAGAAAACTTACTTAGTATTTCTCAGAAATATGTAATAGCAAGAAACCACTGACCAAAAAAAAAAAAAAAAGAAGCAGTTGCTCAGTTCACTTTACACTCATAAAAAGGACTGATTGATTTAGTATAACCTTCACATATACCTTTATCACTTCCTCTCATATAACATAGCAATAGGTCTTAAAATGGGTACAGTTTACTAGCTAGGTCTCTGTAAAAATATTTGGACTCTAAATCTGTAAAATTATTCAAATAGATGATTTGATTTCAGAATTGAAGCTTAAATTTGCAAAATATCCTGGTAGGGTCTCAGCCTTTTTAAGTATTAAAACACAGAGTTCAGCTGCTGGGTGGAAAAGGACATTGAAGGCTAGTTTTGAGAGGGTTTTGTTGCAGAAAAAAGCATATCACAACCAATAGAAGGCAATACTGATCCTTATTAAACTATGTTTATGGCAGTATCATTTTCACCAAGAAGAATATATACTGGAAAATGAAAGGTTAATTGGTTAATTCTGGCATTAAAAAATACAGTATGTTAGATGATGTAATGCATATCATCACATAAAGGACACGTCTAATACTGAAAGAAGTAGAAACTCAAGCACCAAGTCAACATTTTCACCAGATCTTTTTCCTGAGCTGATCTTATTTGTGATGCTCGAGTCCCTCAAATTGTTTTTCTTGTTATCACCAAATCTGTGGTGAGCTGTGTAATGAGTTGTCTTGGCAAGCAGCTGCTCATCCAGTATTGCTTTGCAACATAGCTCAGTGAGGAGCAGGCATATGCTCTGTTAGCACACAGAGACAAGGGGAGACACGGGGTGCATGTAGCAGGACATCCTAAGCAGGATGAAGAGATGGAATTATATTAATTATGCCTGTGGCTTTGCAGCTGATACTTAAAATTACCTATGTGTTGTTGGGCTGTAAAACATAAAGCTATAGAAAAATAGTTGTTGAGCACTTTTCTAAAGTCATGAATGCTGTAACTATGTTCTGTGTTGCTGACTAAACAGATTCTGTGTGAAAGGAGTTGCAGTGGTGTTTGTCAGGCAAACCACCATGTTACAGTGCAGCCTTCAGCTCAGCATGGAGCAAGGTTCTGGTCCAAAAGCCACAACAGTTGATAGACATTGGGTCAGTCTGCTGGATCCTGTGGTTAGGCTGATGTCTTTGAGCTAAAGCATGAAGAATCTTGTACGGGTAAGCTCTGCTTAATAGAAACAGACTTCAGTTTGCTTTTCCCGTGTTTTACTCTTTAACATCGCTAGTGTCTAGTTGGTAAATTTCTTCTATAGACCTTGCATCCACAAAAAACTAAATATATCAATTTCAATATAGCAGAGAATCGTTTGTTGCTCTTATTAGAGCAATTCAAGTTATATTGGTTTCTATGATGCTTATGCTGAGAACTAATGGCTTATTGTGTATGTACCTTCATGGCTTTGATAATGGGAGGTTGTTGTTGCTATCAAGAGACACATTCATTTCATAAATGGGGCTATCTGTCAGCAAAACAACAGTAGAAAACATAATCATGTTTGCAAGGGTGCAATGAATGCTTGGAAAAGAATCCTTGTTAAAAGTTTTGGCATCAAGGGGAAATATTCTACTTTTCCTTTCTATCTGTTTCATATAACATCTGGAAAAATAGTTTTTCTCTCTTTGAGACATCTCTTCTGTCCCCGAGAGCACATTTATGATTGCAGTTAGTTTTGAATAAATGTAAAGGAGACAATTTCATTTTTATAAAATGCAGGACTGCATTTGGGTTTTTCTACAGGTTGTTTTTTAAAAAAATTATCTTTGCATTTAGGAAGGTGAACCACATAGTGGTATGTTTTGTGTAAAAGTTATTAATATTATGATGAATGTCTCTGAGTAAATTGGTTCTTAAATTTGAGAATGTGACAGCCACACTGATCATCTTTGCTCTGCTTTCCTACTAAAAAAATGTTTCCTGTTGAACTACACCATACTGCTTATATCATCATAAACTTAGTAACAGCCCATTTTTCACATTACCTATCCAGCTAATAGGTCAAAAGGTACTGAGCTGCTATAAAAAAACCTGTAATAAAGTACCATCTTACATCTGGAAATTTAGTAACCCAAAAGAGCAGTGGGTGATAGGCATCTCAGAGCTGCCTTATACTGGAGCCAGGCTTGCTGTTACCCATATCACTTGGAATTTTTCTACTACCACTAGATTTCCTTGTAAATGTAGATGGCAGTACATTTTGCAAAAAGAGATGATTGCAAAGGTCATAAGTACAAAATGTTTCAGATTTTCTATGTCAGTACTGAGGCCGGCAAGAAGTATTGAAATTTTGACAATTTTTAGTATAGACTGTCTTTGCTCTTCTCAGTGGAGTGCAATAGCTCTGACAGAAACCAGTGGCATAGTAGTAAGGTAATTCTCATTGCTACATACAGCAACCTCTCCCCTTTTTGTAAGTGCTAATGCTAAGCTAGTAAATTGACTCATCTTTCATTCCCGGGAGCACAGAAAATAGAACAAAAACCTCCAAAGGCTTTGGCACATATATGGGCCAGCTGCCTTTGTGGCAAGTGAGCATAAAAATTAGCTTTCACTTTGACAATAGACATGGTCATGCAAGACAATCAACACTACGTATCAACAGAGAAAAGAATTTTCAAATTGAGTTTCTTTAGGTTATTGATACACACAATCCTGGGCTAGATATTCAGTGATTAGGAAATTATATGTAGTCCCCCCCAGTCATGAATTGAGAAATGAAGTATTAACACTTCAGTGTCTTCAAAAACCAGATGTTTTTCCCCCTCAGCTAAGTTTCCTGCAGAAAGAAAGAAAAATCAATTAAAAACAAACAAACCCAAAACCAAACCAAACAAAAAACCCCAACAAAAACCAACAAAAGATATTTTTTCTCAGAGAGAGAGCTGCCTGCACAGCATTGCTGGCTGGGCTGGAACCAGACTTTGCTTCTGATCCCTGTAAGTGCTGCAGGAACAGCACACTGGAGACCTGGAAGCCCTGGAGCTCATACAGTAAATGCAGTTCTAATTCACAGAAAGTCAGGTGGCTTTAATTACAGGGGCAGACAGATTTAAACCACACACAAAGGCATGAAGAGAGACAAGCAGATCTTTTTATCACGAAGAAATGTGAGACAGTATCTCTGTTGTGCAATGCATTCCTGTCTGACACTCTTTTCCTCCACAGAGGATTTTAATTCACATGTTTCAGAGGAAGGTCCTTTTGCCAGCTACAGGAATAATTTTATTGTTGGAAAATGTTGTTAAAGGGAGTTGGTACAAAGAAAACTGGGCTTAAAGAAGACTCAGGCTTTTTATTTTCTGAGAGATAATAAATCGTCAGAAATAAGATTACTACTTTCTCTTTGGGCATGCAAAGATGGCTCCATTTATAAGAACTAGATTTTTGTCATAGGATATTCACAGAAATATTTTTTTCTAGGAAAACCACCTATCCTTCTGTCCAGAGCAGACAAGGATTTAACCAATATAACCATTTTCTTAGGACTGTAGTATACTTCAATATTAAGAAAAATCTAGAATCCCATTTTAAATAACATGGTAGTTACTTCCACATCAAATGTATTAATAATCTAGTGAATTCCAATAGGAAACTTTACCCAGAAATAGTTGTCCTCCAGTTTTAGTTTATCCAGTTTGAGATCATTCCTGCTATTGCTGTCAAGTTCAATGCTCCCAAATATCTTAGCCTCACTGTATCCTATTATAGTGAGGTTATAAAGTAGCCCTGCAGGTATTCTTGTGTTCCACATGTGAGCTGAACCTTGCAGAATTTAGTGTAGAAGGAGTCGTGCAGAAGCAATCATTGCTGGGCATGTGGAGTCTGGGGCTCGTATGGTTGAGTGAGTAGCTGAAGAGTGCATTGTAAAAAAGTGGTGACACCTACGGAGCAGTTCTATTAAGCATTCAGGAATGTGGCCTCATATTCAGGAAGTGGCACTTTTTAAATAGTTCCTTTTTACACGAAAAAGCTATTTCCAGGTTTTATTTGCACAATGTATGTATAATGACCTGTCATTCTGAAATTGCTGTCTCTGCTCTAGGTGTCAGACATGTGTGCAAAGATTTGCTTTTTTATAGTTCATTTCTCTTAGATTTCTGTACAGTTTGCAGTATCATGTGGCTAACTGGGGGCTCTTCTTAGGGTTTCTGTTCACTCCTCTTTACACTGAAGGGTAATGTCACTCATGTCTCTTGAGGTAAATGTAGATTAACTTCTTGTAAAATTTTTACTCCTTTTAAATGTATTCTGGAAAGTTTTAGGTTTGCTTTTGCTTGCTTCATTTTCGGTTAGATATTGCAGTGATTAAAAGGCATGCTAGATGTATTTAATTTTTGTGTGGGACTAACCCCAAAGGAGATTAATGTGGAGACATTGATACGTTAAAGTAAACTCCAGAATACAGGCCAGCCAGGCAGATTCATTTAAAAATGGACGTGAGTCAACCAAAATACTAGATCCCAAATCCAGCCAAACTCTGGTATCAATTTCACCTTAGAATTCTAATGCTCTGCTTCATTACTGTTGCATTACAATTTCCAGATGTTGGGGGTTAGGTTTCTTTTTTTTTGGTTCCTTCTTACCTATGGAATTTTTCCCATAAGTTGCTAAGAAACACTGACTACTGGGCACTTATGGGTACTTAAGAAAACAAAGGAGTGGCCGAGCTCAGGGGGAAGGAGGGCATCTAGTTGCATATCTCTCCTCTGGGGAGTTTCTCTCCGCGGGACGGCGATACCGCGGGAATTGGGCAGGTAAAGGAGGGCTGGGGCAGCTCCTGGCTCTCTCTCGGGGGCTTCAAATGAGGATGGTGCGAGCTGCTGTGCTCGGGGAAAGGAAATCGCTGCCACGGGTATAACCCAGCCCGGAGCTGCTTCTACTGTGAAGTGAGCCTCTGCTCGTGAGAGCAGCCACTGACCCGGGACCTCATAAACACCTGCCTCACTAAAAGAGGGACCTATCCGCATCTCCTCGGTGCCCGGGATCCTGAGCTGGCCTCTCCCTGCCCTGCTGGGAGCTGGGCCGCCGCTCCTCCGGCGCTGCTCTGGGTTTCTGTGCGCTGCAGCCCCGCCCTGCTGGGACGTCCCGCGGATCCAGCCACCGCTTCGGACACATCTCATCCACCAGCAGGGAATTTCTGCTCATTCCTGCCGTTCCAGCTTGGTGCTTCCGAGAGTCCTGCTGGGGCACCGGTATCGAGTGCCCCAGGGGCGTTTGTGAAGCAAATCCTCTCCTCCATCCTTTCCCGTCTCGGCTGAGAAGGCTGTCACGGGGTCCCTTGTTCTGTTTGTCCTTAATGCCATAGTTGTTGTTGTTTGGTTGCCTTGTTACACATACTAGTAAAGAACTGTTATTCCCATCCCAAATCTTTGCCTGAGAGCCCCTTAATTGCAAAATTATAATAATTCAGAGGTAGGGGGTATACATTCTCCATTCCAAGAGAGGCTCCTGCCTTCCCTAACAGACACCTGTCTTTCAAACCAAGACACCAGACCTCAGCATAAAAGTATTTGTTCCATCTCTGTAAATTTAGCAACCTGAATTCAGCTTTGGAGAAACCGTAAAAACCATCATACCAAAGAGCTGGCACTCAGGGTTGCATTCAGGGTGGGAAGGGGTGCCACTGCAGCCTGGAGTCAGAATAAATCCATAAGGGTAAAGTGAAATGGCATAAAGCTGTCCAGCATAGCTCTGGATCTGGTTGGTTCCAGAAGCAGCTCTCAGCACAGTCAAAGATTTGAGGGCAAGACTGTTCCCTTACACATCTGCATCCAGGATGAGGTGTGGACACAAGGCAGCAGGTCGAGTAGTGGGTGTTAATGTACAATTCACAAAGCACATAAATGACCTGGAGGCACTAATTGCTAAATTGCCTTTTATGCTTTCTTGATATCTGCATTTTTGCTTGCTCATCAGACCTACTTAAATCTCCTATTTCCCACATCTAAGCACCTTGCTTCAGCTTTCAACTGATGTCCCACCCACATGCTATCTATGATGGCCAGATAAAGGAGAAACTGAAAAAAAAATTAAAAATAGAAATGTTATTGGTCCTTACTTTTTTCTGACTCAACTTGCCACATCAGTAGATATTATAGGATTTAGGATATAGAGAAGGAAAAAATTACCTGATGGAGAACTGGGAAGTGAGGGAAGGCAGGGAGGGCACAAAAGCACATGGTGGGATCTATCAGAGTTTAAGCCATTCATAAATTTGTCTGAAGAAGTTCTAGTACAGACTTCGTAAGAGAGTCTTTGGTTAGAGTCTGTGTTCCAGGGATCATCCAGCAAAACGTGGCAGCTATCTGTGTTGTCCAGCAAGTTGTGCTCACTCCTACTCTTTTGAGATTTGTGTGGAAAATGGTGGGTACTGGAGCTGGAGCAGAAGCTTGATATTTTGCTCTGGGAAGCAGTTAGGAAGGAATTCCCTGCAGTGATTGGGGGGAAGGTCTGGGTGGTGATGGGTGGGAGTCTCTGACATACTGATGGCTTCTTTTCTGGTATGAGGTACTTAGTGTCTGTGCTCTTTCTTTTAAATTCAGGCGTGCTCTTACACTCATCTGGAATGTCTTTGCAATTTTTGTTCATAATGCAATCAAAATGGGTGATGATATCATCTACTTCTGAGGTCTCTTCTTCAGGAAATTGACCCCTGTTTCTCTCCTTCTGACTGGTTTTCTGATCATTTTTCTTCCTCTTGCAAGAGAAGATCTGGTTCAGCATACTGAATCGTCCTTCTTTCTTTAAAAGTCTGTTGTTCTGGGAGGGAAACTTATGAACTGACTCAGATCTACTGGAAATACAAAACAAAATGTGATGTCAATATTACCAAACAATGAGAAAATATCAACTGTATTACTCCATGAAAGAAGCAGCATTCTATCCATATAAATTTGCATGGGTGGTTCAAGAAAATTAGGATCCCAAATTTGTAATTAACAAAGACTGAAAGTGCTGCTGTGTTACTTCACTCTTTCTTATAATGAATTGCCTTACAATCATCTTAATGTAACTTAGCACAGCTATCTGGGAAAAAACAAACAAAATTTTCTGGCTTCGGCATTGTGGTGGTTTTAAAGCACTAGCTAAAAATCACCAGAAAACTTACTCATCTCTTCCTGTGAGATATGGATTAGGAGAAAGGCAAAACAGGCTCAACACTTAAAAGGAATAAAGAAAGTTTATTAACAGAACTACAAGAATAAGAAACCAGTATAAAACCTCCAGAAACCTTTCCTCCCTGCCACCCAACCTTTCCCTTGTCCAGCTGACAACATAGAGACAAAACCTGGTGGTTAAAGCAGTCCAAACTTTACAATAATCTTTTCATCTGTCTTCGTAGAGAAAGGAGCTCTCTCTTGTCATTCCATGGGGAGTTCTCCACAAGAAAACAGTTTTCTCATGGCTTTTCAGTCCTATGATTGTCATCCGCCCAGAAAAAAACTCTGGCTCTCCTCCCATTTTCACACCACCCTGAGGTGTGTTCACAGGCCATGAACTCAAGGGGTATTATTTTAAGGATGAGTTATTCAAAGGCAAAGGTTCTCTTCATCTGTCTCTGTGATCATCTCTGGGAACAGAGGTTTTCTCTTTTTCTCTCTGGGGGCCAAGGGTCTTTATCAACTCTCATTTCTCTCTCTCTGTTCAAGCATCTCATGGGATCACAGTTACTCCACCATTTGCTTAGCTTATCAATGGATACCTTTGCTCAGATCTACACATTGAAATACTTCATTTCCCCCAAATACTCTTTCATGAATTAAAGGAGTTTTTCAGAATATTATTGTCCATGGCCTTACCAAAAGAATATTTCAGCTTATTAAAGCATCTCCTCATTCTCCTTCCATCTGAGGCTTGATTCTTTCTTTCACTGACTTTGGTTTATGTTGTCTCTTTACATGTTGATCGCTCTCACTTTCCTCTCTCTGGAAAGGGATTAAATCTGCAGATCTCATCTGGGTAGTGAAAGGGTTAAAATCTGGCTCAAACTGCAGCAGGTAGTCACGGTGTCGGATTTCACGGTGTCGGCAGCGCTGGAAAAGCAGCTGAGAGTTTTCGGCTGCTTTTTGGTCTGGAGCCGTCTGTGCGGCCCCCCCGGGCCATGGTGGGGCGAGAGGATACTGGCGAGATGTCAGCAGCCATGGCCCGGCCCAGCCTAGGGCCAGGGCCCCCCTGGGAAAGGCTTCAGACACCCCACTGGAACGGGACCCAGAAGGCTTCCTGGGAGGGCCACAGCAGAGCCTGGCCCCAGCCCGGGACAGGGGAAAGTCCCACAGGCTCCATCCCCCGTCCGGGAGCCATGGCAGGCCAAGCCCAGCCCCTGCCGGGCCGCACAGGCCTGCGGGGGGAACGGGAGCCAGCTGGAGTTCTGTTACCTTTCAAAGATGGAAACAAAAAAGAGCCAGAAGCTCCTGGGCTTAGGTTTAAAAGCTGGTATTCACAGAGCTGATCTCACTTTTCAGTGGTGAACAATACTGTCAATTCTCAGAAATGGCCAGCTATTGGCCAGGTCTCAAGCAGAGAATAAAGTCCCTACAGCTTCTCTCAAAGCCCTCACTTCCATGTTTTCTATTTTTTTTTTTTTTCCTAAATGCCAAACCATCATAAGCATCTACCAGATGTGAAGATTAATGATAATGAGAAGATCATGCTGTGGTCTTTTAAATCAGGTGGTCTTTGTATTATGTCACTTTTGGAAAGGTATCTCCAGTCATTGCATACACTGTAAAAAAAGGTTCTAGTTCACCATTCGTACTGCCCCCTTCCTTTTTCATCTTTCTCATTCACCCTTTCACTTCTAGCCCCTCCTCTTGCCTTGCTTGTGCTAAAGAAGTCCAGCACAGTTTCAGATTAGTCAAGATAATTACTTACACTGGTATTGTTGCCTTTTCCAAACTAGAAATGAAACTCAAGGTATTTTTAGTGTGGGAGGTAATATAAAAGCGAACAATTATTGAAGACCTTCAGGGGCAGTTATAGAAAGATGTCCATAAAAGCCCACCCCCACAAGGTTGAGTACATTTTTATAGGTTTTAGGAAGTTAGCATAATTGATACAAGAACATCAATTCTCAAATCAGGAGAACAAGTGGTGACGGAAATCCCCTGAGGTCAAGCCCCTTCTCTGGAGCCCCTCTCTTGGTACTAGTTATACTTTGTCCATGGGAGTGTATCTAGAAGAGTTGTTCTCAGCCTTGGTAGCCAGGAAGAACCAAGACAGCATAAGGGCCTTGTACCCCTTGGGGCTTGGAGCTCTGGAATTTGTTTTTGTCTTTCTGCCTAGAGAAAGGCCATGGAAAATTACTGGGGAAACTAGCCACTAGTACAACAGGCTACAAAGGTACAAATATGTATGTGTGAAGAATACAGAGAACATACAAAAAAGAAAAAGGCAAAACCGAAAATGGTGTCAGTATTGCTGTCTTTGTTTTGCGACGAGATTTTGGATAATCTCCTACCTTCTCTAGTAGACAGAGTGCAGGAGACTGGGGAGAGGTAATATCACCCGTGTCTCACATTTGAGGCATAGGACATAATACTAACTTCTGATTGGAAAGGTGGTGAAAGCACAAAGAAATGGGGAGAAAAATGTAAGTGCATACTTGAAGCAGAAGAATGCAAACTAATTAAAAAACAGCTACTGAAAAAGGACCAATACAAAGAAAGGAAGATTGTAACCAATAAGTATTTTTTATACTTTTGAACAGACAAGAACTCAGAAAAAAAAACCACATCAAAGTAGAGAACTAAAGAAGGCTAGGATAATACTACCAAACCCTTACTCTGAGGATGAAAACTGGAGATTTATTTTATTGTCTGTGAAAGATGCTTTTGTGCTCAGCCTATCTGTCTGACATGAGCACACAGATAGGGCACAGAGATTTCAAAGAAGTGAAAAGTACATATATCTGAGGGCTGGAATTTTGTTACACAAATTTTCTATATGAAGGTGACTGAGCAAGAGCTATATGCTCATCCTATTCAGAACCCTCTGCTGCTTGGGAGAGTGGTAAAACAACCTCAGTGAAGAGTCTTTAGTAGAGAACTGATTGTGATGTTGTAACATTGGTGGAAAATGAAATGAGTATTGCCAATGAATCAAGAAAGCACCACCAAGGGCTCAAACCCTTCAGTAGTATTCAATAAGCAATAAATTTGTCTTCTAGTCAGTGGCAATACGTGAGCAAGATGTGAAATTTACTTTTACCTGCTCTCCTGAGACAGCAGCTTGATGCATGCAGTGTGCCCGCAGTATATTGCATATGTCAGAGGAGTGTTCTCATTGATGTCTCGAGGGCTGCTGTCTATCCCCAGTTCTAGCAGTGTCTGCACACAGTCAGCTTTCCCTGCTGCTGCAGCCCAGTGCAAAGGAGTCCTACAGGAAAGGGAAAAAAATACATGAAGGTAATAAGAGAAGCCTCTCCCAGATGATGAAGGACTGAACACATCTACCAGACTGCCAGTTTGCCAGTTCATGAGTTCTGCAATAGGCAGAAACCAGAACACATATAGTTTTGAACCTCTGCAGGAGAATCAAACTGATTTTGTGCTTGGCAGAAAATTTGCATCTTGTATTTGGAAACTTTTGTCCAGTTTCCAAATTGTAGTATTTTGCTCTTGTGGAAAATGCGAAATCACAGACAACCCTACATAAAAAGTGTTTAAGAAAAAAAAAAATGAAATTGTATTCCTTTTCAGTCCCAGTGATTTTGGATTGGGTGCAATCAGAAACACAATAGAATGAAAATCTTATGTAAGTGTTTGCAGTGAAAAGCTTGTATTTTCCCTCTCCAAGGATAATGTATTCTGTGGAAATGTCTGAGCACAGATATTGGAATAGGTGGAATGGTCTTAATGACTGGAATAGGTGAAATGTCTTAATGAATTCTGAAGTGTAGGCAATCTCCTCCCTTTGCTCTTCTTTCCATAGAAACATAGCATTCTCAACTACTTTTTAATGATGTTTATAAACTGCTCAAGAACCCTGTTCATTTTATTTCTGTTCCATTTTATTGCACTTTTCCATTAAGAATGATATTATTTTAAGTACCTGAAGGCCTAAGCCAAGAAAACCTTGGCTTTTGCTTCACTGCAGAATGATCAACATGAACAGCCAGCTAGCTCTCTTTGCATTAAATAAGCTTATGAGCAAAGTTCCAAGGAAGGTAGGTGTGGAGTGAAAAAAAGGAAAGATGACTTTTCTGTACTTATGAAATAGAGATTTAATCACAGAAGGAATCACAGGTCTTTTCAGAATGGAAGGTGAGGCTCCTCTGGTCCTCTAGGAGTATGGTAATTTCAACTTAAATACAACAGAAGAACACTGCCATTTCTTAAATAAAAACAACAACAGGATCATGGCTTCAAGTTGCAGGATTCTATTGTTTTGAAAAGAATGTTCACTTTTTATTGAAAGAAACAGGTGAGTGGTAGCAAAGTCCTTACACAAATAATCTCTTTCTAGCACAAACAGAAAGCTAAATATAATTCCTTCTAGTCAATTATCATCATAACTATGATACATGTGAGCTGGACTGGTTTGCAGTGTTTCTGAACAAGCACAGCTCTCTGTGGAGTGCAGGGCATTACTAGGCCATGACCAGTGAAACAGGAAACATGATTATATAGTAAACAGAGCTGGTCTCAGGCTATTAGAAAGAAAGCAGCAATTTCAGAGTTTCCATGGTTACCTGTCATCCACATCAAGGGCCTGCAGGTTGCACTTTGGGACTTTAGCCAGCTCACTGATGATATCACTGTAGCCTGCAGCAGCAGCAATGTGCATGCATGTTTTGCCATTCTCATCATCACAATTTATTATTGATGGTCCCTGCCAGTGGTCCAGAATGATGGAACACAGAATCCTGTTGCCACTCTGGAACGAAGTTCAGAGGAGAAAAGTTTTACAATGGATCTCACACAAGGCTACATCTTCTCTGGTATAGAATGTAAAATACAGTAATGGTATTCTTCTGTGTATATACCAGAATCTCCAGGTATGAAAGCCAAAGTCTTCCAGTCTCCAGCTGGGAATTGTGCTTACTTTATGAATTTTCTAAAACACTCCAAACACTGGAAAAATAATAAATAAGGAACCACTGCAAACATCTCCAGAAATTGTAGAGTGTAAATGACTTAATAGAAATTGTGGTTTTTGATGTTTTGCTAAGCCAGAGTCCAGAAATACAAGCTTATATTTTCCAATAGAAATTAAGGGCTGAAAAGAACCTCCAAAAACCAGCCCATATCTGTAAGTCTGTCTCAGTACACTTAGAAAAGCCGTGTCAAATAATTGTTCAAGTGCTTCTTGAAAACTTTCTTAGCTAGTTTGCTTCAGTGTCTGGTGTCTTAATAGAATGTCAACATCATTCTCTAACCTGCAAATGAAATGAAACATTTTATATCCTACTTTAGTGGAAACAAAGCAAAAGAATTCATTACTTTTTTATAACAACAAAAACACAAGATTGAAAAGGTCTTTCTGTATCATCAAATTCAATCCCTGCAATCATTTGAAGCTATGTCACATCATCCCTCTTATAAACTTATCTTGTCCATTAAAGGCAATTAGGTTTTTTTTTTGCCCCCATTACTCTCAAAGGAACACAGTTCAATAACTTCTTTGTTTTAATGATTTGTATCTCTAATTTCTATTCATACTCAGGGCTGATTATAGCCTTTTGTTTCTGTTCCAGCATTATTATTTATATTAAATACTTCTTTCCTTTTACTGGTACTTGTTCTTCAGATGTATTTATAGGCAATCATCACATCTCTTTTGAATTGTTCTCTCGCTGCTCTAACCAATCATGGTCTTTTAAGTTTCTTTTTGAAAAACATGCTTTCTGTTTCTCTCATTAACCTAGTAACCCTTTTCCTTTTGTGTTTCAGTTGTGTTTCCTTGAAGAGGGGTGATTAAAATTGTACTATTCATACAAAGATGTTTTTGCCAGATCTTATACAGTGACACTGCTATTCCTTACTTGTGTCAGAAATACCTCTTTTGGTATGTCATAAAATAGCATTTGCCTCATTCACAGCTGTGTCACATTAGAATCTCCTAGTCATTCTGGAATGACTCTTTACACCTCAGTACTTTTCTTCCTTAGTTGTTTTCAAGCATAGAGTATCTAGTTTTGGGGAGGACCCTCTGTTACTAGCACCCAAGTGCATGACTTAAACATTTTATCCTATTCAGTTTTGTCCTGTTTGTGTTACTCAAGATTTAAAGGTGATCCATATCCCTGTATGATATCCCCATTCCTTCCTGTTATTGTCTTTTCTTTTTTTATTGGCAGATTTTATCAGAAAGCTCCCATATTATGTGCCAAGTTATTATAGAGATATTAAACAAGAGTAATATCAAGTCTTGTTCCTGAAAGTAATTTCCTTCCAGCCTCTATTTAACATTTAATCATACTCATCTTCTGGATTTTAAGACACAATTTCTTTTGCTTCTCTGTACTTTTGTATATTATTTTGTAAGATGGCTATTTATTCTAAATATATCTTTTAAAGATGGGTAAATATCCATTATCTCAAGCCTCCTCTATACACTTTTCTTCTCTGCTCTTGGGATTCAGCTTCCTGACATATTTTGCACCATTGACAGGATACATTCCAGGTCCCTGGAACATTCTGATCTCAAAACTACTCAGTCCAGCTGAGAATTCCCTTAATTTATCAAAACATGTCTCCCTGAAAACAGAAATTTTGTTTTACATGTACTTGGTTTACTCAGATGTTTAATTTAGAGTCATCTTAATTGGATTAAGCATGTAATCCAAGCTCATTTTCCATGACCAGCATTTTGTAACATTTTAATTAACCATGTTCAAATTGTTATTAAGTTACAGTTGTCTCAATAGCTAATGAAAATAAGGGTGTTTATCCTCGTGTTCGGGATTACTGGTGTCCTTTGAATAATTGTTGTTTTCCTTGTCCAGTCCATATGCCAGATACCAATATCCTCCATACTAGTGTAATTTCCAGTTACATATTTTCATCATTAGCATCACTGAAATCTCTAGTCACATTCAGGGCTAGCTAAATTTAGAAGTCTATTATATACTTCTAGTACTACCACATCTGTTACCATCCTTTAATAAGAAATTTTTGATACAAAATAATTAACATTAGCACCTTACTACTTCTGTATTCATGTTCTAGTGACTACTATTCCTCAGGTTTTACATTGTCTTGCTAAGTCCAGATTTTGCACCCTGCAGCTACAATTTCAGTCCCTCAATGTTCTTGCACAACTCTTGCCATTCACATAAGAAATTTCCCACTGTTCTTACTGACATTTTATACGTTTACAGACTGTTCTGTCTCCCACCAATCTTCTGTTTTCTAGACTAAACAAACCATTTCAATCTCCCAGTGTAGGTCAAGTTTTCCAACCCACTTATCATACTTGGTGCTTGCTTTTGGCCTGTTTTCAGCTTGTCCACAGTTTGTCTCAACCATGGCACTTCAAACAACATAATTATCCAGCAAAGGCTTCTCTCCTTACATTGAAAATAACTTCCTGTAGCCCACATATACTATACTTCTGTTAATATGTCCTAGAATGATGTGTTTGATTTATATCAACAGCATAATTTAAACTCCTACTCACTTTTTAAATCTGCTAGTCTATTACTCTTAGTTTTGCACAAAAATATTTATTTTTTTCATAATTCTATATACAGTGTTGTTTAATTAATTTCAGTTAATTCCTACAATTTATCAAAATAATTTTGAATTCCATCCTGACCCATGAAGTATTTGGTCCCTGTAATTTGATTTTAGCTGTGGGTTATATATATGTTCTGTATATAGACACCTCATTATGGAACAAATAAAAACATTCTTATGATACATCCCTGGTTGGACTGTCTATCAGATATTCACCTTCAAAGATTATTTGAACTGTCCTGAATGTGGCTGATAGAGAATTTATTATGTGTGATAGAAGTCCCTGGTTGATTTTGATGGCATCACTCCTTATTCTTCCCCTGTGGAACATCTTGGACTGAATTCTGGGTTTATTAGCAGGTTGTACATATAAAAATTGTGTTGTTGATGTCCTTCAATGTGATTAAATTTGCATGTACTGCTCAGATCAGAAAGAAACAAAGAATAAGACTTTTAATTATAACTGTATTTACCACATGCTTAGTAAGGCTTCTGTACCATGTGATGAACTTTATCTTGTCACTTTTCCAGAATTTTTATGTTTTACTACATGGGATTAAACTGATTAATTGACACTAAACATACTATAATCTAGTAGCTTCTTATCTGAGGAAGCAATAATTGCTTTGAAGATGGTTATGAAAATTCTGCCAGTTTTAAAAATTCAATGAAATTGTTACTTCCATTTTCTAAGTAATCAAAAAAATATTTCCTAATATTTGAACCTTCTGCTGAACAAGATTTCTGGGCAACTGCTTAGTGGCTTTCCAGTGCTCTCCTCTTAGAAATGCCTTCTTTAAATTCAAATTGGCTCTTTTAAATTGCACTCAAAATTCTCCTAAAATGCTTACAGTGCCCTTATTCTTAGATTGATAGCTTTGAGCTGTGGTCATCAAAAATGTAGTGTTCCTGTGGTAAAGTTACCACAGTACTATTGCTAGACCAGGATATTCTCTGTTAAATTTACCATAGGAAAATTAAGAGGTTTTGTAACCTTACTGTATGCATCGCTAAATTTCATCTTCCCTTTTTTTATTAAAATTCTTTTCAGCAGAGATTCAAACGTTCTCAGAGATTATCAGTAATTTTTGCTATGTTTCTAAATAGCTTCTCAGACCTTCTGCCCCTCCCCCCTACCCCTGCACAGGTTTTGTTACATTTTTGTCCCGTCTCACACTTTTATCTGCTTACATCCATTATTGATTCTCCTCAGTGAAATTTTCTTCCTTAGATCCCTCATCTCACTTAAACATACTTTATTGTCCTAGGGTGACTTTACTTGTCCCAAACCAGGACTTTTATGAAGAAGAAATGTCCTAAAGCCTGGATCCATGAGCCCCTGTAAGAAAATCTCTCTTTGTGCTTTATGCAAATTTTTGTCTGAGATTTGTGTTATCTCCAGACAGTGGCAACCAGCCAATTCATTAACAGGATATTTAGCTTTGACACTTGATAACAACTCTGGTTTCTGTAAGTTGGTTGTCAGACTTCTGGGGCTGCGTCTCTCAGTGCTTTCCAAATAAGAAGACAATTATTCAGGAAGTACCTATCAAGTCAAGTACCATGAGGAGAATCCCAAACCTGTGTGTCACTTTACTAGTTTTGGCACTTCTTTCAGATATGTCTACTCCATTAACACTCATTGTTACTACAGCCATGATTCTCATACTTAACCCCATTTTATGTCCAACTGATAAGCAGAATAATAATTTTACGTAAAAAGTTTCTTGTCCCTTACATAATAGTATACTATAATATTGCATTTTATTCTGCCAGGTCTTCAGTGAGAAACATTGAGATGTTTTATTCTGTTCACTGCACTGTATAGAGGTTTATTTCTTCCCCTCTCCAAAGTATTTTAGTAAACTACATTATGGGGTGGCAAAGAGGAGTCACATGTAAGGAATCTGCCGAGCCTGCTATCAGTAGTGGAGAGCTGGGAGGGTAGAGCAACAAGCTATGGACTACTTAACTGTTCCCACAAAACCCGGATAAAATATTTTTCTTCCAAGTAAATGCCTCTGGAGATTACATGCTTAGGTTGTATTAGTTCTATATTTTCTGTCTGTATTAGCATGCAGTGTAAAGCCTTCCTCTATCTTTGCTGGGTGAAAATTCCCTATCAGAAGCTCTTAATGTTGCTTCTTATCATTAGCATTGCACTTTAAGTCTGCCTGTGTTTTCCTCCTCTTTTAC